CCCCGCGAAGAGCAGGAAGCCCGAAGGGAAGGAAGTAGGATGGACAATGAAACCAGTAAGCCATCTCGTGACAAGCCGTCGATCCGCGGCGTCTACCCACCAGGGCCAGTCGTATCTCCTTACACCAGTAAGAACAAAAACTTACTCCATGCTGCTCCGTAAGTCGGTGTGCGTATGTGCCAGCGCGTGCAATTGCGGGCTTGTTTGTCGTCGTCTACCAGCGCTCTTTCTTGAGCTTCTCGTTTCATAAAAGATTGTGGCGCTGTAAATGTGTATGTTTTGGCGTTGTAAAGGTCTGAAATACCAATGGTCAACATTCTTTTTCAGAAATAAACGTCCTGTTCCCAGAGAAGAACAGAAGAGGAGAAGTAAACGAAACGTAAACGTATCACCCATCAAGGCCGCTCAGCCTGGTCGGAAGAAGGAAGGCGAAATCCACCACGAGTTATAAGCCCCGTACCTCAAGAGGGCAAGAAGAGCTCTGACAATATCGTCTCAAAATCAGACAAGGAGCATCCACCCAAACAGAGCGTTGAAGCAGGCACTGTGACTGCGAAGGGGGTCGCCTGCTGAAGCCAATCACGTGCCTCAGGAACCTGCGAATAATTTGGAGACGGTCCCCGTGGCGCAGGACCATTCGGACGCGGGAAGCCTGCATTCTGATGGCGCGCATGACCATCCCGAGCACGGCGAAGCTGACCAAGACGCGACTGAAGACAGGATTCCGTATCCGGTAGACGTGCCGATGGAGACTCTGGATGACCCACATAAACGTTTTTGAATGACGTGGTGCGCCCTTTGGCAGTAAAGTGAAACACGTTGACCCGTCGGCGCAGGGCACAGTCCCGTATGCGCCTGGCGGGCCCATGAAACCCTGGATCATCTCGACCCGCTGCGAGGCGGCCGGAATGCGTTCAGCTACAAATGCAATGAAAGGTGCGTTGTCTTTTGCTTTTTTCTTACAGTCCAGTTGTCCGTGGACTTAGTAGAGTGCTGCGTTTTGTTTTGCTGCTGTTAGAGCGCTCTCTCGGCTGTGGAACAACACCTTACGGCGCCATAGGGGACCAAATTGTATCCGGTAATCCATTCGAGTCACCGCATCCAACTCCGTTAAGCTTGGCTCTTAGTTCTGAATGGTGATTGCTTGCTCGTTTAGTAAGTTGTCTTACGTTTTCGTAGTTGTGGTCATGTGTTATGTAAGGGCTTCTAGATATTAGCCATGCAAGCCAAACTTTCCAGTCGTAGGAATTTGAGCGTTTTTGACATATGAGAACGTGACTATTTGTGATTCACGGTATTCTTATCACGCCGCGTATAATGTAGTATAATTGTTGCATGGCAACTAGTTGAAGTGTGTTCCGCATTCTGACCATGTTTTCGGTGACCGACAAAGTTGAAGGGAATATGCGGCATTTCAGGATACTGAAGCAAGCATCAGAAGTGATTAAGTATGCCACTGATAGCTGTTGGTATACTTCTGAGGGGAAAAAGCTGCTCTAGACAACCAAATTTCGCTGTTTAGTAAATATGTTCCTCAATGTGTCATTGTGCCATTACGTCACTGTTTCTTGCACAACATTGATTGAGAGCAAATTGACGGCCGTTATATCTGGAGGTCGTCCTCACGAACGCCAGATATGAACGATCAGACAATAATATTTGTCTTAGTCTTGGTCGCCGCATAGCCGATGCAACGATAGGATTTCAGTGACATTATTATTGTGGCATGGTCATGGTTGGTTGAGTTGGTATTGTGGCATGGTTGAGTGGCGTTTCTATTTTGTCATGGTTGGTCTTAAGTGAAGTTATGGTTGCAAGCGCTCCCGAAAGGCAATATTACACAAAACTCCCCAAACACTCCACACGTTACTTAAGGAGTTGTTCCACATTGCCATAGTGTTTGAAGCTGAAATAGCCATTTGTAGAATCATTCAGTGCGATTCGCATCCCTGCTCTTGTTGCGACCTAAACTGGTCTAGTTTCTAAGCTACACACCCGCGAAGAAGGATTGTTTCACATTTCTGTGGGATTTTGAACTGAAATAGCCGTCCTGGAGATCATTCGGTATAGCTCGCATCCACGCCCTTCCTAAGGCCTAAACCCCTATAGTTTCTGAGCTACAGGCCCGCAAGCTGGGGGGGGGGGGGTATTTCGGGGAGAGTATGTTAAGATTACATTGGCTTCCCCGACGTCATAATAGCATCATTCAAATCCTAAACTATGCGGCAACGAAGACCGAGAAAAAATATAATGGTCGAGTCGCTCATGTCTGGCGTTCGTGAGCACGTTTTCTAGACGTACCGGCAGTCAACTGGCTCTCAATCAATGTTGTGCAAAGTACGATGACGTAATCAAACAGTGACGTATCAGGGAGCATATTTACTAAACAGAGAACTTGTGCTGTCTAGGGCAGTCTTTTCCACTGAAAAGTACATCAGTACTGCTAAGCGGACTTGTTTTATCATATCTGATGCGTGCTTCAATATCTCAGAATGTTAAACATTCTCATTAAGATAGACCCGTCGAGAAGTTATCCCCAAACACATACCCCGTAACACAAGCCCATTTTCCTTTCTTTCACAGCTGAAGACTCCTTGTCAACCGGATGAAGGAGATATTTCAAAAGAAAACTAAAATCCGGCGGCTTGAAGAGAAATGCAAGCGCCTGCTAGGCGACGTTTCCGCCAGGCGTGTGGACCCCGGGCTGTGAGCGTCGATGCCGACACCTATGTGGTTTGCGAGAGGGATGGCACGGCTGTCAGCGGCGAGCCTGTGAGCGTACAGGCTTCCACAGAGGCGGGGGATGAGCCTCTGGTGGTGCTAAGGGAGCAGGCGCCGCCTCTTAGCTTCGTTGCTAAACTGAGAGAGCATGAGCTGTCCGACGAGATGACCACGTTTCACCGTCGGACTTGCAAGAGGCGCTTTCCGTGAACCAGCGTCTAAAAATTCAGAACCTCTCCATGCAGGCGGCATTCCTCAGTTGGGTAATCAAGAACAAACGGCTGGGGGACATGAAGGTAAGGCTGGCACAGGAGCGATATCGGCGGAAAAGCGCAAAGGTGGTGACACGGAAACGATTGAAGGAGCTGCTGCGGCTTGAAAAGTCCGTCAAGTCGATGTTTACTGAAGCGCAGGTAAGGGCCATCACCAGGGACTTCTCTGTCAGCCTCCATGAGAAGAAGAAGGTCGTTCAGTGGGGAGAAGAGGACGTGATCCGGACGCTAGAGCTGCGTGCCATCAGCTCGGACGAAGTGCTGAATCACGTGAAGCGAAACATGAAGATACCTCTGCCGAGTATGCTGACTGTGAAGCAGCGATGTCAGAAGTCCCCCAAAACTGAACGAAATGTACAGGGCAATCACGACCAAAAGGAACGCCGAGCCGCACTGTGGGATGTGCCAGCGCGCGCTGAGCACCATCGATGACGTGGCCGAGGCCACTGTGGGACGACCCAGCGACCTGGCTACCAGCCCTGCAGAACGCGCTGCCGCCCTCGGAGCGCCGCCACGCAGCAGCTCAGCTCACGCGGCGAAAAGGAAGCGAGGGAGAGGGGCGTCGGTGTCGGGAAGGTTCGCCTCGCCGCGGGAAACAAACCTACGAAGCCGATTCCGAGGACAGCGACTCATCGGACTCGATTGCCAGTGGCTCATCCGGGCGTTCGGAAGCAGAAACGCTCGAATTCCGTGCACATGCGAAAAAATGGCCACCAAAGAAAACAAGCATCCCACCCCCAGCCCGTGTTCTCGAGCAGCCAAGAAAGTCGTGGTATTTTTGAGGATATGTTCAACTCGTCTTCACGTATCATTGGGGAAGGTCGTGGTGTTGCTTCTTCAACAATGCACTTCATTGCTCTGTGAAGAGCGTGCGGCATGTGAGGGACGACTCATTTGTCATGGACGGTGAAAACACCGTCGGGAAGCTCTGGTCACGATTGGATGGGGTGATGCGTTGCTAATAAATACATGTGTCGTTCAGTTCCGCAGCATTCGTGTCGGTTTTAGAAACGATGGAAACCAAACGGCTTCAGAAGAGGCTGGTGATGCCGGTTCATTTCGTTTACACGACCTGATTTGATTTTGGAAGGGAATGTTGCAGGTTTGGACGCATCGAGGCAAGCAATGGGTATGCCGAAATACGCTCAGTATTATAACTATAGGTTTGCTGTAAAGCGTGAGATTGCTTTAGATCAGAGCATTTCACCATTCGGTAAGGGACGCGTTATGACCGGGGCAGGCGGCGCGTCCTAAAGCTCAAATTATCACTTTGAGTTAACATTCTGCACTACCAATTGACCACTCAGTAAACAGGCTTTATCAATAAGTCATGAATGCGGTCGTGAAACGTTTTTATGACGCATGGAACGCGTGTTTTGTGGTGGTGAAACGAGTATATCCATTGCTGCTGCTTGCTTTGCCATTATATTTTGGGAGAAAAATGAGCCAGAGCAACGTGATGTTATGTCCCACACATGTCCCACACAGTGTACTGGCTGTTTCACGGAGATATGTCGCTGTCGGAAGGGGAGTACCTGACAAGGCACAATCCGGAGGGGACGAGAAGACACCAATGGAAGCTCAGAAAACCTCGAGCTAGAACTCCCGTCCGTCGTAACCCATTCAGCACGCGGGTTGTCAACGACTGGAACGCTCTTCCACACCCGGTCGTGTCGTCGAACTCAGTTGAACAGTTCCAAGGCTAGGCTTCATACGCACTGGGCTGATATCATGTACGACGTCCCACACCAAATCTTCCCATAATTTGAGACTGGTTACCGGACCGGAAGCCTGGCGAGACCGGGACCTACAGGTCTAGTGGCCGTTTACAGTTCCCGATCACCATAAGGTAACGCAAGATAAGGCAAATTCAAAATACTCTCTCCCTAGCTCTGCATGAAGGCTACCCTGCTTTTGCACAGGACAGCATAAGCCGCTTTGACGTAATTCTTGTCCGGCCTTGGGCCGGAAGCAATTGTCCCTTCACGAAAGTGACAAGACCGTCGAGGGAAAAAAGAGGCCATCCATTCGCCCTCGGAACGGCATTGGGCGGCCTCTGTCCGGGGACGAAGTGGAAAGCAGCGTGAAGAATCTGATTGTTGCTACTGGTGCATTCTGTGGCGTGTTTTGCCGCTTCTTGGTGTAATTGTTGTAACTTGACCCCTGGAGTACATGGAGTAGGTGCATCAGTGGACTACGCTGCCACACGTTATTTTACTGTTTCCAATCAAAACTCGGTTGCGTTCCGCATCTGAGGGCAATGAACAACCGATACGTTGATTACTTTTTGATACTATTAGCATGCTTTCTTCTCTTCTTTTATTTGCCAATCCAGCTGGGCACAGAAAATTCTGAGGCTCATGAGCGAGCATTCCATGATTTTCTTGAAACATATAACAAGTCATATGTAAAAGGCGGCCAGGAATATGAAAAGCGGCTGGCAGCATTCAAGGTAAGTATGGGTTATCAAGTCGCCTTCTGTGGCATTGGTGTCTAAAAGTTTGCACCAATTTTTGTTATCCTATGTAGACAGTTTCCTCAGAGTATCCCTGTATGTTTTTACAACTTGTTCAGCCAGTTGATCACCTCCATCTCTTGTTCCCCTCTAAGTGTTAGGATTGGTATCAAGTCATGAATTGATTGGAAATTCAAAATCCAGAGTGTATTAAGAGGGAACTAGAGGTATATACCTCTGCCAATGTTATATACTCAATCAATGCTCTTTTATTAATATGCATGCAAACAAATTTTGACAAAGAATTGCAGCTTGCACACTGCAGGATCTATCAAAAATGTGAGAGTGGTCTCATGTAGAAATGTATTGCACTTGCAAAATGTTTGAATCCTCATTCAGTGAAGAAATTTGAGTCATTTCTTTTCATAGGAAAGTTGTGCCCCTAGGCAAGATATATAATCATGTGATACTTTAATAATAATAATTAGTGTTGTATGTTTTCATTCAAATCACTTTTTAAGTGACCAAAGGGGTCTCTACACATTCTACTGTTTCTGTCAGGCATATATTGTAGTTTTTGAACATATATAACTCAAATTAAATGTTTTTTTTTTCAAATGACAACTGCTCAACTTTTGAGGAAAAGTTTCCTGTTAAGTTTGTGTCAGTGGGAAAGGCACCATGGGGCTGCTCCCAATGTCATGCAGTACCTGTCAACCCTGTTAGAAAATGTATGTGTTGTATACACCCTGCAAAACGGAGTGTTGCTAAGTATCAGACTACTACACCCCTCAAAGTAGAGGGTGTACCAGCACCAGACTTAAACATTTATCTAAAAATATGTGGATGGTTGTGTACACCTAGCGCACATACTTTAACAGTCATGGAGAAAAGCTGGTGCAAACATGCAACAGTGTCATGCAAAAGCTTCACTTAAATGCCAGCCACATCAAGACCCAGTTCTTTCAACAACTAGGGAGATGTAACCAGGAAGCCATGCAAGAATTTGGTCAGTTTTGGAGATGTTGACATCAAAGGTTAATTGGTGCTCATGATTAGTGTGCTGTGTTTGGATAAGTCAGTAAGTTTGAAAGACTATACTTGGTTCCACCAATCTGATTGTTATGCTTTTAGCACCATACATGAGATTACTTTTATATGTAGCCAACCTATCTGCCATTTTTTGCTCAAAAGGGCAGATTATAGTATCAGCATCAAAATATACTAGTATAGCACTCCACTTTGCTCCAATTCAGGGCAGCAGCAAAATGGACAACTTTACCAGCATAATGATGGTCTGGCATAATGATGGTGTGGCATAGTAATGGCATAATGATGGTGTAATAGTGGCCTGGTGTAATGATGGTGTAGTGATGGCCTTGTATCATGATGGCCTGGCATAATGATGGCATGATGATGGCCTAGCATATTGATGGTGGCTTTGTAGATGAAGGGTGTAGATCAGTTATGCATGCCAGAGGTTTGAATCTGAACCATGGGGAACCATGTTTTCAGATCAATGCCAGCCTTGGCCTGGACAGAAACCTTATTGTGTTTCATCCCACATCAAACCTTTTAAATACAAAATTCACTGATTGGTAAGGGATGAAAGAGTTGACCCCATCTTTAATCCATGTCAGAGACACTGACTGGATTTACCTTTTCACTGCCCAAATAGGCATCATTTGGATCAAAGAGGTTTCTGAATAATGTTCAACACCTACAAATATGGTGTGCATGTTGCATAGTTCTGTTCATTCTCAGTGCGTCCTCGCCATCGCCATGGCTCTCTGCTGGCCTTCCCACGACGCCCTTGCTCTTACACAGGAGAGCCTGGCGCGGGCGCGGCGGCTGAACGCAGCTGGCGCCGATGACGCGCACTACGGGCCGAGCAAGTTTTCCGACCTGACGCCAGCAGAATTCCGGCAGCGGCAGCTAACTACCGGAGCCTCCGGTGGCCGGCGGACACTTATGACCGCGTGGCGCCGCCGGCCCTCAGCCCCGCTACGTCTGCCGGCCGGCCTGCCAGCCCGCGTTGACTGGTCAGTGGGCCTGGTGGATCCAGGGGGCCAGCCAGCCGCAGCTGGCCAGGCAGCCCAGGGAACCACCACCCCAATCGGCGGCCGCCGCGTCCCCGGGGCCGGGGCGTCTGCTGGGCGCCTCCGCGCCAGGCGTCTCTTTGCAGTTCAGTTGAACTGGCAATGGAGGAGGTCAACTGCAAATACACCATTCCTCTCCCTGCATTTGCTTTACCACTGCTGCCTCAAAGATCATGTTTTTGTCTGTGCACTTGTCAATGTGCAGTTTTTATCTGTTATATGCATGTATCTCAGCTGTATGTGTTCAATCAACCCGTTTTGCCCCGGGAGTGTTTTTTACACTGACTCTTATGCTGAAGTTCACCAATGGATTTCATGCTGAGGTTCATGGTAGATGTGGACGTGAATCACTTAGGAATGCTACATGGCCTTGCTGCTCTGCTGTGTTACCATCCACAATCGCTGCTGTTGGTGGCCAGGCTGCCGGTGTGGCACCGAAGCGCGCGCCACGTGTGACCCCTGCGCGGTGCGCCTCGCAGGCGGGACCGCGGTGTAGTGACACCGGTCAGGAACCAGGCCGACTGTGGCGCCTGCTGGGCCTTCAGCACGGTCGAGGTGCTCGAGACGATGCATGCACTCAAGACGGGTAACCTGACCCAGCTCAGCGTGCAGCAGGTACGCCCGATGGCCGGGCCGCGGGGAGGACGTGGTCAGTACGCGCGATAGTTGGACCGCAGGGGGAGGGAAGGGGTCAGTACGCGTGATGATTGGACCGCAGGACATTGGACACACGCTGTTGTCCCTCAGTAGTGCCTGTTCGGTGCGGAGCCGTGCAGCTGGCCATGGCCGGTCCACCCCGCTGCCGCGTCCCGCTGCCACGCCCCGCTGCCACGCCCCTCTGCCACACCCCTTGCCACGCCCCTCTGTCTTCCGTCTGCAGGTGATCGACTGCTCGTCCAACAACCTGGGCTGCACGGGCGGCGACGTGTGCTGGGCGCTGGACTGGATGAGCGCGAACGGGATCGTGCCGGAACTGCGCTACCCGCTGACCCTGCGTGACGACGCGTGTCGTTTGCAGAGGTCAGTGGTGCTGCGTACTTGTGCATGCGTGCGTGCGTGCGTGCGTGCGTGCGTGCGTGCGTACGTACGTGCGTACGTGCGAGGTGGGACAGGTCATTGGTATGGCAGGGCAGGCGCACAGGTCACCGACGTGGTATGTAGCTGGCAGGGTGTTATGAGGAGCGATTGGTTAGGGTGGTGTATTGGTTAAGGTGCTTGTCTCTGGTCTTCCGGTCCTGTGTTGGGAGAAGCTATGGTGGTGTATTGGTTACAGTGCTTGTCTCGGGTCTTCCCGGTCCTGTACTGGCATCCCGGGCACTCGGCTGCCACATTCCGCGTGGTACCTGGTATAGATGTCCCGTCTCGGAATGACCCTGGCAGTCAGACGTTAAGCCACCGATCCTTGTAAGAGTCGCATGCAGGTGTTGGTGGCATATTGCATCAGATGCAGACGGGTGATGTACAGTGTCAGGTGAGCCTGCTCAGGTCAGCGGTCAGTGGCACGGCGGGCGATGGTGTGTCGGTCACAGCCTGCGCCATGGGCAGAGGGTCACAGGCATCGCGCTTCATTTGCCGGTGTCAGTGACACGGTGTGCCATGTGGGACTGCGTGTCGATCAGTATGAGACAGAGGGTGCCGGTAATATAGCTGTTAACGCGTCTGCGCTAACCACTGCGCGTCTGGGAAACTAGAGGTGCGGGGTTCGATTCCCGCGATGCCCGCCCTTCCTGACAGGATGAGAGGCAGGCGACGCCTTATAGCCTCGGCAGCTGAGTGCGTGATGAAGCCACAATAACACGCGACGTGAGGCAGAGGCAAAGGCTTATGTGTCAGGTGCAGCAGCAATTTTTATGACGCAGAATGAAGTCACAGGTACGTGTTATATTTCTGTCTATTGGCTAATGCTGTAATTTACTTGCTGTTGTAGATTGGTAGCCATCCATGTTCAGTGCCGTAACCGCGTCGTATTTCGCCTTTCTCCATAACTCTGCGTACGTCTTACAGCTCCGCTAGCGGCGTACTGCTCCGCGCGTACCAGTGTGACTCCATGGTGGGGAACGAGGAGGGGATGCTGCGACTGCTGGCCACGCGCGGACCGATCGCAGTGGGGGCCGACGCCACCAGCTGGCAGGACTACGTGGGTGAGTTGGCTGGCGGCTGGCGGACCACATCAAACCACCGGTGTCATTCTGAGCATCCTCGAGTTGAGGTCGGCCGCTTGCTGCCTGCGACGCCATGGGTGGCCTTGGCGCCATTGTATTGGTCTGTGGCGACGTAACGCGCATGGATCGGTTTGTATGCTGCCCCTCTGGCGCGGTCAGCCGTGTCTGCGCGTGCGACGCGCGGGTACAACACTGTGCCAGTGCCGGTTCAGGCTCGAACCTTCGGAGATGACGTGACTGGCGAGGTCAGGGCGCTATGGCTGGCGGGTTAGGACGTCGCGTCACGAGCTCCCCGTGCTCCGCCAGGCGGCGTGATCCGATTCAACTGCGAGGGTGAGCTGAACCACGCCGTGCAAATCGTGGGTTACGACACGACCGGTCCCGTACCGTTCTACATCGTGCGCAACTCGTGGGGCGCCGACTTCGGTCTCGACGGCTACCTGCACGTGGCAGTAGGCAGCGACCTGTGCGGTAAGAGTGGCGACTGTGAGGCAGCATTGACGTGTGGATGTAGAAGCAGCAGCGTTGTACTCTGTGATAGTGGCGCTTTGTGTGGCGCAATCTAAACTGGGACGCAGGGTCTGCACTTGGTGGGATTCTGTTGACACTGGTTAGGCAGTCAGGCAGAGCTCTAGATGGCGCTGCATGTCGTAACATCCAACCCTAAACTGTCGATGCGACCATACTTTTGGCTAAAGACAGCTTAACCAAGTGATGATGTCACTGAATGATGGCATTGTCACATTGTCACAACGGAAGCTGGCCATGTTTGAAAAAAACATGGCCAGCTTCCGTTGATACCACGCCGTCGCCGCGCTGAGGAAAACTTGTTGCTAAAATAGCTGTCTGATTACTGTGTCGATGAACTCCCGAGAACAGGCTGAAGAGCTCGCTCTGTGCCGGCGCAGGTCTGTCTGAGGAGGTGGGCTCCATCACACTGTGAGGCTGGCCTTCTCGACGCCGGACCGTCCGGACCCAGCCGGTCCGCCTCGTCGCCAGCCTTGCATGAACAGATCGCCGGCCGGTGCTCTGCGCAGCCTCGGCTCCGGCCCCTGGCGTTGCGCGTGCGCGGGTCACGGGCCGGGTCAGCAGACCTTCCGTTCTGGCACGTCCATTATGGTGCTGATTTACCTCGGTCGAGGTGATCGTATTGGATCCACGGCCAATGGATCAGTGTGCGCCTTCCCAACGGTGTGTGTACTTTCATTTGGGCTGGGCTCAAATGATGAGGGATACACTTGTTTTTACTCGCAGACATTGCGTCCGAAAGTGTGTGATACTCATACTTCTGCTAAGGCGTATGTTTTGGAAAGGACTGGGAGAAAAAGTGATACTCACAAAACTTAGATTTCAGAAGATTCTCGCTTGTTGAGGGGAGCGTCTCATGCATATCTCAAGTGCCACTGGTGAAAGTGTTGTACCGCTGCTGTGTATGTGTGCGCCGAGATACACATCCAATACCGTATCATTATTTCTAGAAATGACTGGTTTAGCATTGTTTAGTATGTTGCATTCTTGCCTATCATGTGCCTTCTGTAGCGTGTTTATAGCGCGTACTTAGTGTTCAATGTGGGTGAATATTATAGAGGAAACCCCTAGAGAACGTCGGGCATAGTTTAACAGATTCTTTGTTTTGTCATGTTTGATAAATTGGTGTACAGCTGGGACCAAGATATGCCTTGTGCATCGCAAGGTTAAAAATACCCTTTTAGAAGGCCGGGCGTGGTCCGTGGTGAGGCCTTATGGGGGCTTAACCGAACACTTAATATAAGAGTGGCATGCCATACCTAGTCGAGCTTGATAGTGTGGGCAACAATATTACTGGCTGTGAATGTACTTTTGTGGTGCAGCTTCCCTTTCTGGCTCCTATGGAATAAGCGAACAGACAGTGTATTTCAGTGTCGTGATTCGCGTCTGGCGTGCTGTCCCGATCGAAGTGCAGAACGACTGCGGTCCGTAATTGCGGCAGTGGGGCCCGCTGTACTCTGCCTCCAGGTTTCGCTGTAATTTGACCGCTCCACGTGGAGCTAGGTCAGTCGGGCTTAGTGAGCTGTATGAAATTAAATATATCTATGAAAACGTGGGTTTTGTTTGTGGGCGGCAGCGCGCGTCCATGTATTTCGCGATGCATATTCGCGGTACTGCGTTGTGGTTGTGCGTTCACCGTTATATAAGTCGAAAGGAGAAGAAATGCAAGACATTTGTTATTCAGTGTATTCGTCTCAACACCTATCTAGACAAAGGTGTCTTAGCCGGCTAATCCGGTAATGTGATGCAACCTGGAACAAATGTAGCCTGCCCAAGACTCGTTGCCTTCTCCCTCTACGCCCTCCTGCATGCGCTTGAATTAGTATGCGTATGATTGCAGAGGGCCTAGGCGCAGGAACAGGTAGGTTGCGCCCTCTCCAACTTTCAGACTGTGGTTATGCTCACCCCCAGATTTAAGCGGCGTAAGCATACATTACTGAGGGCGTGAATGCTGCTGTGCCCTGCCCTCAAGGTCGGCGTGTTTTCTAATGCGTTTGAATGATTTTCAGTTTTCTGATACCCGCCCGGTCAGAGACACGCCTCTGGCAGGGTTGTCTACCTCGCCCACCCTGTCAGAAGCACACCTCTGATAGGGCTGTTTGATACCTCACCGTCCCACCTGATGTCTCTGGTACCTCAGCCTTGGCAACCTGCCCTGGAACCTCATTGGAGGCCCGCGCTGGAGCCTCGCTGCTGGCCCGCGCTGGAGCTGCGCCAGCGGCCGAGATGCTTATATTGATATTTTCGCATGCTCCATATGAGTAGCCGCTGATGAGTGGTAACATGGCAGGTCTCAGTGGCGGCGCAGACCGTAGCACTAACGTCTAGTCCGGTCAGGTCCAGTCCGCCCCTGCACTGCCTATACTGACCTGTCCTGTTCTGTCCTTTCCAGTCCTGTCCTGTCCTGTCTTGTCCAATCAGGACTTTGCAGCACCGGACGCGTCTCACTGAACAGCTGCACTTGAGCTGTAAGGATTTACCGTGCACTGAACCTACCTTGGAAAATCTCAGCGTTCTCAAGATCTAGTCACGCTCATTACTTTCACTCATCGCCTTTTCGTTCTTTTCTGACAAGCATGCGCCTTACAAATTTAGCTAATTCAATTGTTCCCTTCTAACCGAATATGCCATGTCTTTAAACCCCTACTCCTATAATGTCCATGAAGTTGGCAAATTTACTTATCGATTTGTTCAGCGACGTTCCCATTTCTCTGAAAAAGATCTGCAGGTAGAACATGGCACAACATCGCAAATGACCTTTATTTTGTAAGATGTGACCTTCGAGGTCGAAAGGTGGGTCAAAGGACGGGTAACACGACATCACCAGAAAATAACCGGCCAATTTACAAACTGCAGACATCAAAACATTCACAGCGCAAGAACTAGCGACCGTCAAAAAGTCCTGATCTCTCAAGGTCACCCTTAAAGAACAAACGCGGGCTCAAAGACGGGGAACTCATTATCACCACAAAATTTCGACATCAGAATATTCAAGACAAAAAATTAGCGTTCGCTTAAAAGTTTTGGCCTTTCAATGTGACCCTTCAAAGTAAGACGCGGGCTTAAAGGACGAGGAGCTTTATATCACCCAAAAATTACCGATCCATTTTAGGCTTGCAAACAAAACAACGAAATATTGACAAGTTTAAGAGCTAGCGTCCGTCGAAACGTCCTGAGCTCTCAATATCATCTTTTGAGACTAAACCCGGGCTCAAGAGACCATAAATTTCATGCCACTCAAAAATTAGCGGCCGATTTTTAACTTGCAAGCGTCAGAAAATTCATCACTGAAAGAACTAGCGTCTGTCAAAAAGTCTCCACCGCTCAAGGCTATCCTTCAAGGCCAAATGCCGACTTAGGGGACGGGGAACACAATATCACCTAAAAAATTGATGCTCTTAGTGCGTGGCGGGCGAAGGAACTCCCAGTGACGTCACCTAGCGTCTCACGCGTTGTGTGCAAGTCGCCTAGCAGTATTCCCTCGGATTTGGGACCTTCGTCGTTCGTGGGAATATCGTCCCAAGAGCGCAGATCCTCGTAGAACCTCGAGGCCTGGGCCGGCGCTGCCTTGGCTTGGCGCCTGAGTTGTTGGGTAGGGGTTTGGCTGGTCTCGGTGAGTGCTACATATTAGTTTTAAAACTGTGGTAGATGATATCTGAAAGGATTTCCTGCAAATTGTCATCATGCATCAAAGGTTCATAAATCGTAGTACGGGCTCAACGCTTTGCACACATACCTTAGGGTAAAACGAATAGGACAAAAATACTGCTGTCCATGATGTGAAACGGGGACAGTATCGCTGTCATCATCAGCATATTGGACATCATATGCGATGGATCTATGGCTCAAAAGGTGGCAGGGTCTGCTCTTGCATGTACATCCAAGCATCTGCCACAAGTCTTCATTTATGGGGAAGTAGGGAGATCATATGATGTTTCTGTGTGATACATGAAGTTGATGAGCATATCATTCCCCTAGTCGCAAGTCACAAAAAATCCACTCTCTGCATCAAATGTGATGTTTTTGCTGCAAGAATGTACCAGACTCAGGCTGTGCCAAATTTGCTAAATTTTAGATATGCATTGCTTAAATTTTTTTGTTAATTTTTGCTTGAAGCTATCTACACAGCATCATAGAGACTTGATGGTGTAGGTATACATTGGTACCTAACATTATAAAAAAATTACACTATTTGTCGTGTTTAAAGCGGAACATATCAATAATATTAAAACAGGTAGATTCATGCTCCTACCTTCAAACTTTAATAACTACAATAGCAAGCTCCTGAATGCCGCACACACACCGCTGCCTCGACTCCCCAGTGCTGTTTCTGCATTATCGTTGCATAATTACAATATTTCTGCTTATCAAGAACCATAGAAAATGTACAGGACCAAGGTAACACTAATAATGCAATGAAAAATGTTTCTTATCATGTCTACGTATGTTTATGAAATGGACAGGCCAGAATAATCCAGAACATAGCCTTTACTAGCCTAACCTGACCTAACCTAACCTAACCTAACCTAACCTAACCTAACCTAACCTAACCTAGCCTAGCCTAGCCTAGCCTAGCCTAGCCTAGCCCAGCCTAGCCTAGCCTAGCCTAGCCTAGCCTAGCCTAGCCTAGCCTAACCTAACCTAACCTAACCTAACCTAACCTAACCTAACCTAACCTAACCTAACCTAGCTTAGCCCAACAACCTAACCTAACCTAACCTAACCTAACCTAACCTAAACTAACCTAACCTAACCTGACCTAATCTAATCCCCACCTATTAAGAAGTTTTGTTTAGCTGCCATATTCTCATTTTGCTTTTCATTTTCACCCAAAAACATCATATTTCCCCACCATGTTGACCAATGTAGAAACAATACGGAAGACTGCTTGGATATGCAAGAAACATATTTCATTGGATTCTTGTTACCTTGGCCTCATAGTTTTTAAGGTTCTTGGTGCGCAGAAATGTGATCACGCAGTAATGTTGTAATCACACGTAGAAATGGGTAGAAATGGAGCCAGGGTCGCGGCTGCTGGGTGTTTGCGCTCGGATGTTTGCTATTGTAGTTATTTAACTTCCACGGTAAGAGTTTAGATGACCTGTTTTACGATTAATTACGATATGTTCTGCCTTAAAAATGACCATTGATGTACAATGCTCTTTCTTAACATGAGGTAGCAATGAATACCCTGGTCGACATGACACATTAGGTTTGTGGTCTGCAATTGTGTGACAAATGCCAAATGCGGGCACTCAGATTCACTGCAGGCGTGAGCTGGCTATGTTGCTGGAATGTCTTGGCTTTGGTAGATGTGTGGGATGAAAGGGATTTTTTGCAACCTGACCCTGCCTTAGGGCCCCCTCTAACATGTTGACTGGGCATAGGCAGTGTGGAACAGCATACAGTCTCAGCACCATGAAATGTTCCAAGGAGGTAAAATATCCTTAAGTTGAAGGCGGCCTTGGTGTGACAAACAATAAGTCATGTTTGGAAGTTGATCTTGGGGTGCTAGTGATTAAAATAAGGTTTTTTTCTCAACACAGTCTGATGTGAAACTATGCTCATATGATAGGGTGCCTCCATAGCCCATATCCATGACAATGGCACTTTGCTGACATGCCAGACTGCCAAAAATTAGTGGTGCCTATATTCAGTGTGTCAGCGACATCGCAACAGCAATTTGAGCACATGTTTACCTAAAATCTGAGAGCAATTTGATGATTTATATCTGGGAAAGAGCATGTTTGGCATATGACGACTAAATGAAACTTTATCTTTGGTTTTGTTTGACCTTCTTCATGCCACAATGTGGTGTTTCATAAAATTTATAAAATAACTGATCCATTTAAAATTGGCTTTGGTCTTCTGCTGCTGTCAGGCAATGCAGCTGGGCCATGCTGCTCATGTTTTTGCAATGTTCTAGTATTCATACACATTGGTCTATTATGTAGACCTAGTAGCTACATATGACATTGTGGTCATCACCACAATAATGCGTGTGCTGGTGTCATTCCACACCGAATTTCGAGACATATATACAGTGTGTGTTCCAGTGAGGTCTGGGCTTTGCAAATGTCATGTTAGCAGCATTGGCCATTGACTGGTGTCACGTGTTGCAGCGGCGCCATGGCGGGTCCACCGCCGCCGGGCGGCTTCCCGCTTCCGTCGGGCATCCCGCTGCCACCGTTCTGCATGCCACCGCCTGGCATGCCTCCGCCGAGCTTCGCGGCCTTCAGCCGTCCGCCGCCTGCCTTCCCGCCAGGCGGCGCGCCGGCCGCGCCCTCTCCCGGCACGCCGCCGGCGGGGCCTCCCGCCGGCGCCGCCGCCGCCGTCCCGGCGCGCAGCGACGCGCCCAAGACGGCGTGGACCGAGCATCGGGCGCCCGACGGCCGCACCTACTACTACAACACAGCCACCAAGCAGAGTGCGTGGGACAAGCCGGACGAGATGAAGTCGTCGACTGAGCTGCTGCTTTCGCAGTGCTCCTGGAAGGAGTACACCTCCGACAGCGGCAAGACCTACTACCATCACGTGGTCAGCAAGGAGTCGCGCTGGACGATCCCGCCCGAGCTGGAGCAGCTGAAGGCCCGCCTGGCGAGCCAGGACGCAAAGCCGCCGGCCGAGGCCCCCGCCGCTGGCGGCGACGCCAAAAAGTCGGCTCTGGACCTGGCCATGGCGGCCACGCTGGCCGCCATGGACATCCCAACGCCGCCGGTGACCGAGGCGGCGGCCGACTCGCCGGCCGACGGCGGCTCGCGCAGCACGAGCGGCACGCCCGAGCCGCGCCGCGTCTTCAAGGACAAGCGCGAGGCGATTGAAGCGTTCAAAGAGCTGCTGCGCGAGAAGGGCGTGCCAAGCACCGCCACCTGGGAGCAGGCGCTGAAACTGATCCAGGGCGATCAGCGTTACGAGACGCTGCAGCGGCTCAATGAGAAAAAGCAGGCGTTCAACGCGTACAAGACGCAGCGCGGCAAAGAAGAAAAGGAGGAGCAGCGGTTGCGTGCCAAAAAAGCCAAGGAGGACCTGGAGGAGTTCCTGCTAACTGGGGACCGCATTACCTCCATGACTAAGTACTACAAGTGCGAGGAGATGTTCGTCGATATGGACATCTGGAAGGCGGTGGCAGACCACGAGCGCCGCGATATCTATGAGGATGTCGTCTTCACGCTTGCCAAGCGAGAGAAGGAGGAGACCAAGCAGATGCGAAAGCGGAATATGAAGGTGCTTTCTGAGATCCTGGACTCGATGGCGGACATCACCCACCTCACGACGTGGCAGGAGGCGCAGCAGATGCTGCTCGACAACCCGCGCTTCGCCGAGGACACGGACTTGTTGGGCATGGACAAGGAAGACGCGCTGATTGTCTACGAGGACCATGTGCGTCAGCTTGAGGCGGATGAGCAGGAGGAACGCGAGGCCGATAAGAAGCGCAAGGCGCGGCTCGAGCGGAAAAACCGTGACGCGTTCGCGGCCCTGCTAGACGAGCTGCACGACCAAGGCAAGCTAACGTCCATGTCGCTCTGGGTTGAGCTCTACCCGGTGCTGAGCTCAGACCTACGCTTCTCGGCCATGCTTGGCCAGACGGGCTCGACACCGCTCGACCTCTTCAAGTTTTACGTGGAGGACCTGAAGTCGCGCTTCCACGACGAGAAGAAGATCATCAAGGAGATCCTTAAGGAGAAAGACTTCGAAGTGCAGGTGGGTGGTGGCCGGTCTGTTCTGTCGATGCTAACCCTTGTGCACTAGGTACCAGACGAGACTCGTACCTTGCGCTCCAAACCTCTATGTGCTCATGACAAGGGTAAACAAGTTCCATTCTCAGAACTGCTTGGAGCTTTGTAAGGAGACCAGTGTTTCTGTTGCCCGGTGGAACTCTTGCATGCATTCTGACATATCGTGTGTGACATATTGAAGTACATAGAACTGTGGAAGAGGCTGGCAACTCCGCTCATGTTCTTTTTGGGGTTGTTTGTTTCCGCTACTCACGCCCGTCGCCTTTCACATATTCTCGTGTCATCTCGCAGGTGACAACAACATTCGAGGAATTCGCGACAGTTGTGTGCGAGGACAAACGGTCAGGCACCTTGGACGCCGGCAACGTCAAGCTCACCTATAACTCACTGCTGGAGAAGGCCGAAGCGCGCGAGAAGGAGAAGATCAAGGAGGAGAATCGCAAGCTGAAGAAGCTGGAGTCGGCCTTTAAGAGCATGCTGAAGGCGAGTGACATCGAACACGGCGCCACGTGGGCCGACTCGCGCGCCAAGCTGGAGAACGAACCCGCCTTCAACGCCGTCGAGCTGGAGTCGGAGCGCGTCCGCATGTTCAAGGACTATCAGCAGACGCTGGAGGACGCCTGCGGCCACCATCACTCGAAGTCTAAGAAGAAGAAGAGCAAGAAGAAGCGGTCTCGCTCCCGCTCGCGGTCCGATTCGGGCTCGGAGCGGCGCGCGCGGCGCAGCCGGCGCAAGCGGCGTTCGCGCTCACGCTCCGGCTCTCGCTCGCGAAGCGCCAGCTCCAGTGACGCCGGCCGGCGCCACGGCAAGCGCAAGACGCGTCGGCGGCGCCACAGTCGCTCGAGCAGCGGCAGCGGCTCCGAGTCGGAGTCGGGCCGGCCTGAGCGGCGCCGCGAGAAGCGCGCCGCCCGCGACGGCCCGGAGGAGGGCGAGTTGAGCGAGGACGAACTGGAGAAGAAGCGCCGCCACTTGCTGGCCCAGCTGCAGGAGGAGTGAGCGCACGTGGGCGTGAGTGCTGAACGCAGGGATGAGAGTGGTGGCTGCGTGGGATTACGGGAGAGGAAGTGCGGACTCCTGAGGGGGGGGGGGGGGGAGGAGGGAAGTGAGCGTGGAATGGAAACGGAAAAATTTCAAATAAGAGGAAGTGGGTTCGAGGACTCAACTTACGTTGGAAATCATGTACGGCTTTGCATGATGTTCCGCGGTACTGTTTGGTTCTTCTCCCCACCGCCGTGATTTCTGTACAAAACAGTGAAGCACTCGCGCGCCATAAGGCTAACGTAGTCGGTGTACCACTGTGGTTACTGGTTCGGCCATATTTTTCATAAAGTTTGCTCTTACGCACGTATTTCAAATCAATTGTGGTCCCCGCAGTCCACGTTCCAATCTTCAGGAGAATCATCACATTGTGGGTGTTCATCACAGGACCCAGCGCGTCATGAAGTGCACGATCGTTTCTGAGTGCGCACGTATGACATGGCGGGTTGCAAAGGACCGTCAGCGATGTCGTATTTGTGCCAGCTCCTAAGTCATGGCAGCGATGTAAATAGGTCTTTTTCCCATCGCCGTGAGTTCATCATAAATATACCAGATCGTCACCCGGACGGATTTTTTAATGGGGTGGAAAGAGGATCTGAGTCTGGATTTGAAGCTGGGGTCTCACTAAAAACGGCAGTTAAGCTGCCGAAAAAGGGGGAAACGTGGTGCATGTCGTCGCGCACCATTTTATGTACCGTCGGCGACAGCAGAGGCCGTATTAGTGCTGAGGGGCCCTGGCGCTGCCGAGGTTCGAACTGCTGGCCCTGGGCCCTGGGCTCCCACATGGAGACCAGGGCGTTAACCACTCGTCCACCATAGCCGAGGCAAGAAAAGATCTCACCTTGTATGTCTGGGGCCTTTGCATCCATGTTCGGTCACGGCAGTACCCAACCAACTACATTAAATCGTACGCGCAGTCTTGACATGGTAAAGGCGCATCTCTACTGTTAGTGTCTTCAAAATATATTTATCATGCGTAATGTTCCGCACATCTCAAAAACGCGACTTGAATGACCTGCGATCAACAAGGTATAGATGCGTTACTTGTTCAGATATCCATCCGTTTGCCTTTAAGGGGAAAACATGATATCGCTTCGATGAATACTTATTGTGTCTCGCCAAAGCGCAACGAATTATTATCGCATCAAGCTTTTTGTGTGTTTACTGGGCTGTATATGTGCGTGTAACGGGACATGTGCTTCGGCGTGCCAGCCCTGCCTCATCATTTGGCTTTGTTCGATTACGAGCATATGCAACTGCTAACGTTGTTGCCCTACGCATACATCTCAATGGTTAGGGATCTCGCTGTAGTTATCTCCAATGTGAGGCGTATGTTTACTTAACCTTCTGTCAAGAGCCCAAAAACAAAATGTGCGAGCCGAAGGGACGACAAACTCCTGCTCATTAACTGCACCGCCCTGCGGTGTGGCCAGATGTGCATCCGTCAGTAAAAAGAGGGGGGGGGGGGGGGGGGCGGTTAACAAAGGGCACCGGCCGATGGCAATGCAGCATTGAGTTCAATCTTTAACAATGGTTCATTCAGCTCTTTCCACGAAACGAATGCAGTCTTGCCTTGCCGCACTTTCTCTCGGGGTCTTACGAACATATTGAGAATACCGTATGGGGATGTGAGCGCATTGGCTACTGGCACTATTCCAAACGTGACTGCACTCTAACACAGTTTGTAGCATTGCTCAATATCTGCATGGATGCATCCAACCTCCGTTGAACTGTCGAAAATAATCATTTGTTTAAAATCTAGTGGCGCAAAGTTGCATAAAATAGTCTTCAACAAGTACGTTTTAGGCATACATAGGAAAATAACACCGGCACTCATCGTTGCAGTCGCCGCGGACCTCGCGGCGTTGGCCCCGCGGCTAGCACTTGGAGGAGGTGGGGGTTCAGCGGGCGGGTTAAAACAATCACGTTTAGGATAGTATCATTTTCAACGCTTTGTGAAATAAACTTGAATGCGTGCAGAAGGTATGGGCGCAAAATGACCACTGCAGTCGACGCGCCCGTAAACTCCAATGAACAACAACAAGCAGAAAGTATCCCGAACCACAGCTTTCACCTGTGCGATTTTAGATTGACACTCGGAACAGACACGCACAGCGCCACAAACTCACAACGCAATGTATGTAATCTCGATGGTTCGTGCTGCTGTTGTCGGTAATCTTGTTGAGACAACCAACCACGAAAGTACACAGGTGAGGTTTCCGGGTCAGGAGCTATAGGCCCTCCATCCCAGCCTGCGGTTCCCAGCAGCTGCTACTCAGACGATGCGGGACCGGAACTCCCTGGTCGATCCGGAGGCCCTCAGAGGGTTACATCATACACCGGTACCGTCCCTGATGCGAGAGGCCCTCTGACCTGGGCACGTTGCACAGGAGCGACGAAGGGACCGTCACTGGCGCAGAGCAATACCTTGCCATCGCACGAAGTTCAGTCAGTGACACCGTGATACCAATACGGCATGTCAGCCCCTGGTTGAAACGGTGGAGAGGGTCTCTCGTTTGATACTCGGACCTCTGAACGACACATGGCCTTCCCACTGTCTCATTTTGAGTGCGAGCCTTTGCACCGTCATCCATTACGGAAAATCAATTGTCAAGAGGGTCCTGACCAACGCAAGAAGGCTGTTTGACATTCGGTGTCACATTTCTGCCTCTGCTCAGCAAATTTACCCCTGGCCGGTTTGGAGCCTATTCCCAACACCGGGTCCCCTATAAGGCATTGCAAGCCGCTACCAGCACAGGGACCCTTCGCTGATTTAGGGGTCCCAACGATGCGGAAGGCTTCTGATTAACATTGGAAAGCCCCAGTTCTGCCCCTCCTTGAGAAAAGAGCCCCAGGGTCCACCGGTGCGGAACCGACTGCTCGGCATTGGTGGTCTCGGTCAGCTGACTGATGTAAAGGCACCTCACTGTCTCAGGGAGACCCCTTAATTAGGGCAGCAGGCCCTCCGACTGACTTCTGAGAGTTCGGCCTTTTGACTGGGGTCCCTTCGTATGTCAGCCCCCCCCCCCCCCCCTGCCTGTCCTTCGGACTCACAAATGGAACGCTTGATCGCCGGCTCCGAGGACGTCAAGGGAGTGCTCCACATTTATATTGGGGTTTGAGCCTAAATAGCCATATTGAAGACCTTTCGGTGCAGGTCACAGCCTTGCTCCTCTTAAGACGTAAGTCTCTGTAGTTTCTGAACTGCACACCCGCAAGAATGAGGTAGATAATTTTGGAGAGAATTTCAGTTACCTTGGCATTCATGGCTTCATGATAAAGTTATTTAAATCTTTCCATTTCATAAGCCATGCGACGGTCAATGCCTATTAAAACATAATGGTCAAGTTGTTTATATTTGGTGTTCGTGAACACGATTTCCAGATAGAACGGCCGTCAGTCGACTGTCAAGCAATGTTGTGGAAGGTACAATGTCATATTCAAACAATGTTGTATCGAAAAACACATTTACGAAACAGAGAAACTGTGCGGTCTAAAGTGGCTTTTTCTACTTAAAAGTGTGCGAATAGCTATAAGTGAGCTAGTTTCATCATATCTGATGCTTGCTTCAAAATCTCCAAATGTGAAACATTCCCTTTAAGAACCTACGATGGGTCACGTGCCCCAACCCCACTGATGGTGGTGACCTTGGTCCTTCGTAAAAATAAATAGTTTTAGTCAGTGTACGAGAATGACCAGCCTGAGATGTAAAGCAACACCCCGTGAGGAGTAATTTTCCACTCTTTTCCCCATATGCTAGGTGAACTTTCACTTATGATGTCATTCAAGTCTGAATTCATTTGAGACCGCCAAACGTAAACAAAGCTCTACAGAACCTGGACGCTTATGAGTGTATCCTGACTCACCTACATCTGAATCATGTCTATGTTTGCCATAGGCGTAGGAATGTGGGGGGACAAAAAGTGGGGGACAAGCTCAGGTTGTACGTAGGGAACTTTTTCAGGAAAGCAGACCCGATGACCGGGGGGAGGTGGGGGAAGCAGAGATGGATGTTGCATTGCTCTTTATTAATATGTCATGGCTGCTATGTTAGATATGCATCTATAGCTGTTTCTCACTTTTGCACAATCTTGCCTATTCGACTCATATGTCATTCGGCAAATAAGGGTATCCAGCTTCCCTAGCTTATTCGTTCATTTTAACATTGTCTTTCCTGTGAGGCCAAATTCCACGAACGGGTAGGCAATTTGAGTCAGTGAGGAGGCATCTGCCTCCACAGGGTAGATGCCAAAATAAGGCGTGGACAAGGGCTGGTGAGAATTTGGAAAATGAATTGATACCTCACAGTGCGACGGGTTTTTTATGCACCTTCATTTCGCAGGCTGTTTCTCAAGAGATAAGATTTGTCTCAGCATTTTAGGCGGAAACAGATCGAGAGGCTTGCAATTGCCAAAGACACTGTCAAAGCCATAAAACTGGAGATTCTCTTTTAAAAATCAAGCCACATAATGAAGGCCCGTCTGTCATATGTTCCTCATCTGGGCCCTGCTTCCGTCCGCCGTCGGCGGTCGCCGCCCTGGCCAGGCTGTCGCCCGCATGACTGACTGTGAACTGATCGCATGGTCGCTTTGTTGCATATTTCGGGATCAGCATTGCTACTGATTGGTGTGTAAGGCATATGTTGGACACGTGAAACAATCTGTTTCTTTCCGAATTATCCTCTCTTACATCAGACTACCGCAGAAAAAACCTCCGAGAACCTGCCTGCCTTAGGTATGAATCAGCCCAAGGGACATTTCATCGCACCACTTTCTTTTTCATTTCATTTTCATCATTTAACGTAAACGATTTTATTTGCTTTTGTGTGTAGCCACGGGCGTAGCCAGAACAGTGCCGAGGGGAACACAAGGCTGACAAAAGTCCCTTTGTGGTGACCCCCCCAAATCCTAGATATATATCGAGGATTTTCGTATATCCCCGGATATTGCTTACTTGACGATTATATAATCCCCGGATATAGCTGCTTGTTCATGAGGAACACGGTTTTTGTTATTTTATTTTTTTTTTATTTTGTTATTTTTACCTTGCAAGCAGAACGCAAACCAGAGGCTACAGTGATATCAATTCTGATTGTATTTTTAGGTGAATGAACTGCAGAAATTAGGCGTTAAACGACCGCATAGAATAAATCACCGGCACCCTTAACTTACAACGGCTTAGTGGACTGTCTCTAAAGAGATGAAATTCAGGGGCTTTGCCAGAATTTGTTATCTGAGCATTCCAGACATTAAGGACATCACGAAGGTAGATTAGAGTTGAAAATTTGCTTGCAGATAGAGTGATCAATAATGTGTATTAACATGGCCAAGTCATCTTTGCATCGAAATGCTCAGCATTCAGTCAGAATCGATTAGTGATACAGTTTAGTTTTTAACACGCGCACTTGCAAATCTTGCAACAAAAACCTCGACACCAGACGTTCCAGTCTCCGGAGTCCGCGGAGCATTAGCCCAGTGGCTAACTTTTCGCCTTGGCCCACCGGAGGACGAAAAGGATGACGCTTCTGAAATAATTACTTTTAAACACTTAATTCGATTAATATTAC